TAAACTTGAATTTCAGAAAGGCTAGTATCTTGCTTTAAAATGGGAATTATTGGGATCCCCGGGGGGGCTCAGTGGTTTGGCACCTGCCTTCGGCCTGGGGCATGATCCTGGAGTCCCAGGATTGAGTCCCACGTCGGGCTCCCTGCACAGAGCCTGCTTCTCCCTCTGCCTGTGTCTCTGCCTTTTTCTCTGTGTCTCTCATGAATAAATAAATAAAATCTTAAAAAAAAAATAAAATGGGAATTATTATGTTGTCTTCTGAGGATACAGATGCCTCTAGTCCCCTCACATGAAGCTGTCTACATCAAACCACAGGGGTTGGGCAATGGACGGAGTAAAAAGTGGGAGAACAAGAAAATAAGTACTATCTCACCACATCATTGCTACTTCTGAACCATTAGCTCTTTAAATTTAAGCAAAAGGCCACCCACAAGGCATTCGATTATACCAGTCTCTCCTGGAAACTGTTTAATCTTACAACACACTAGTCATTCTCTCATATTCAAGAATTTTGGCTCTTCCTTTCACACAGTCTCCAGATGCTCCTAATCTTGTCACCACTTTAGGTGGTGACACCTAATCTGAGTTTAATTTCTCAATCCCATTCTGGCTACCCATCGACACATTATGAAGACAGAGATCTTAAACATCAATTCAAAAACTCATTAGTAATAGTTTACTACTAATAAACCTCTCACATTCTTTTATTCCTGTATCTGTTCTTTCACTTTATGGAGACTTCAGACATAAACCTTCTTTTTGTTTTTAGTCTATTAGACTCCCAGATTAACTTTTTTCTGATGTTAGTTTGTATCTCAAAGCACACAACTTCAATTGCTTTTGTACCCACTTTCTAACCACCTAACCATTCTTCTATTTTTAACTCTGTATCTCCTAATCCTGGATTTGGCTATTTGCTCATTTCACTTCTATACTAAGAAATCTGCTGGAAAAAAAAAAAAAAAAGAGCAACAGGGATCCCTGGGTGGCGCAGCAGTTTAGCGCCTGCCTTTGGCCCAGGGCGTGATCCTGGATACCCAGGATCGAATCCCATGTCAGGTTCCCGGTGCATGGAGCCTGCTTCTCCCTCAGCCTGTGTCTCTGCCTCTCTCTATCATAAATAAATAAAAATTAAAAAAAATTAAAAAAAAAGAGCAACAAACATGGATTGATACTACCAATATGGTAAATGCTGGATTCAATATTTTTCTTATTTCTTAACCGAAGCTATTTCAATTCTTTACTACCACTCTCAGAATATCCTAAAATCACTTCACTCAGATGACTTCACCTTGTATTTCAATGAAAAAAAAAAAAAAGCTTTTTACATTATAACTTTCTATTTTTTATTGAATTGGACATGTAACATTGTGTAAGTTCAACTTGTACAGTGTGCTTTGATACATTTATATATTGTAATATGATTGCCCTTGTAGCAATATTTATCACATTATATAATTATAATTCATTATTATTGTCCATATTCATTATACTGTGCATTAGATCTCTATGGCTTATTCACTACTCTCAATGAGTTTACAACCTTAAACAGCAATAATTCTTATCCCCAACTCCTAAGCCCTGGTAACCACCATTTTACTGTTTTTAATAGGTTTGACTTTAGATTTCACATATAAAAGATACATGAGAACTCTACCTTCCTGCCACCACCATTTCCTATCTGCAAACTTATCTTTGTGTATATCTATTTTTTTCTTGTTCCTTCCAGTTCTCAGAGGAATAGGTGTTTCTCCTCGTTTCATAGTCAATTCTTTAGCCTAGTTTTTTGAATCTCCAATGACCAACTGATTGGCCTTATTTCCTTCCTCGTATCGTTCAACTATTCTTGTTCAAATACACTTGAACTTGGAAATGATATTTTATTCAAGACTATAATAAAGGCTTCTAGATCCATACAGGCAACCGTCCATTGGACAATTTCACCTGCATGTCCCACAGGTAACTAAACCTGGTAATTAAAACCTAATTACATATCTTATTTTCCCCCATCTATAAATCTGCATCTTCTTCTCTACTGTTCCTTTCAGTCATCAGCACCACCATCAATCCAGTCTTCTATTCTAGATACCTCGGTATGATCCCAGAGTCTATGTTATCACACCCAGAGTGGCTTGTACTTATCCTAAATAAGTATCTTCCCTAATTCATCCCTAAATGCGTAAGTTCTCATGTTGACTGCTTGAAATGATTGTCATTTTTCTTTTTTTATACTGAAGTATAATTTATATTATACTGAACATGAGTCCACTTATACGCAAATTTTTTCCAATAAATACATTACTATACATAATTTTTCTTATAGTTTTCTTAATAAAATTTCTTCTCTAGCTTACTTTATAAGAATACAGTATATAATACATATGACATACAAAATATGTGTTACTTGCTTGTTATTTGTAAAGCTTCCAGTCAACAGTAGGCTATTAGTAGTTATATTTTTGGAAAATGAAAAGTTACATGCAAATCTCTCACTATGTGAAGGGTCAGCACCAGGTTATTAGCCCCTGCACTGTTCAAGGGTCAACTGTGTGTGTGTATATACATACATACATATATATATATACATACACATATATATAAGTAAAATATTTATTTATAATTATACTTTAATATAGATATATTAAAGTTCATAAAGTACACTTGATGATTACCACTTATTTTTATGTTCCTGGCTCTTAGAACATTGTTTATCATAACCATATGTGTTGAGCTGAATTCCACATTGCCCTCTATTCTATATCCCAACCTCAGAAAGACTTTTTTAAAGTATATGTATATCATCCTTCAGTAAATTCTGATTGACTAAGAATACAGTATGAACTACATAGTCATATTTCTCATGACAGGGCCCCAATCTACCTTCACAGCTTCTTTTCCTGTATTGCTCTGATTACTGTTCTTGCTGGAACCATAGAGTCATCTTATTGTATGTGGAATGTACCATATATTCCCTCACTCTTGTGTTCTCTTATATATACTGTTCCCCCTGCTAGCAGGATTCTTCTAAATTTAAGCATTGGGCTTGAGAGTGGGCTAACGACCTGATCCTCCAACACTGATTTAGGTGCTTCTTTTTTGTGCTTATTTGTTATCCTCCGCAGATCTCCCTGTAGTGCTTAGTACACTGTGGTAGTAACTATTGATCTTACTTTTTATCTTCTTATTGGAAAGTTCTGTAAGGGCATTAACTATGTTTTGTTTCAGCATTTTCAGAACCTCATCAAGAACCCAGTATACAGTAGACATACATTGATTTTTCTTAAATAATTCAGGATATTTTGAGTTTTATACAAAAGAATATATAATATACATGTTCTCTTTTATTCTTGAGTACTTGATAAATATTAAAAAAAAATACCCTTTATCCTTCTTTGCATAATTGCTGATGTGAGCAAGGGCTTCTTGCATGGCAGTTAAAAGGTTAAATCTCAAGTTTTTGGTTGCTTACCACTGGCCAGTGCAGGCAGATGAAGCAGAGAAATTTCAACTTCTGTCTCAACCTAAGAATATCTCAAAACTCCTCTTCTCTAATTCTGTTTCTGAATTTTTTTGTTTTTGTTTTTTAAAAAGTGATTATGTTGTATACCTGAACTGGAAAGGCAAATAAATCCAAATTCTAAACTTCAATAATTTTAGAAAACTCCCTGTCATCGTTATGCTCCTGATTCTCCTATGCATCCCTAAGGAAGACCTAGTTCATAAGTCCACCTATATAATTGGAAATATTCTTTTGTAATGATTTTTGAGAAATGCAGGGATGTACGTATAACATCCAGTTCTATAGATATGTCAAGTAGGATGAAGAGAACTGTGTAGTTCCTATATTTATGGAAGAAACTAAGAACTACATGGCTAGCATATTTCTTAGACTTCAGAATTTTAAAGCTAATAAAATTATTTTTCTTAAATTAGGTAACCAGTGTAAGATCTCCCACTTTCAACTGCCTATTCAAACTACTGCTAGGTTGGCTGGCATCTGGGAACTTGTGAAAACATTTCCTAAGTGATAAAGTTGACTGTTGTGCCAAATTAATTAGACTGTATCTTGAGATTTATGGTGAAGACCTACTTTCTAAGAGTCTGAAATTTTGGTTGACATAGGTTATCTATGTGACCAGCTGTTAATAAAAACCCTAAATTCTTGAGTCTCCAATGAAGTCCCCTTATATGTAGAAGGACTGCACATGCATTGATTGATTTTTTGAAGCTGAAGGCAGGGTGCACTCTGCATACCGCCCCCGCAGGAGGGAAAGAGTATAGGAGGCCTGTATGTGGATCCCTCTAGAGTCTGCCTAATGTTTTACATTAAATGATTTGGCTGTGTATCTTTATCATGTCACTGAAATAAATCTTAGCTGTGAGCATTACTGTATGCTAAGTCCTGTGAGTCCCTCTAGATAACATAGAGAACACAGACTATCACTACTAAATAGAGATATGAAACAAGCATATAGTCTATCATTATCATTTCACAAAAGTATGTGTTAGTAAAACTCTGCTCTATAATCCGACAGTATTAAAACATAGTATGAGAATAAAGGACAGAATTTTGAATTGGATAAATTTAGCATCATAAAAAGTTCATTACATTCTTATTTTTCTCATTTTGCTGCAGACCAGTGAAGACCTAATCATGGACCAACAGACATTTGCCTGGGAACTACTAAACTAAATTTATGCCTAGGAAATATACCTTTCTTCTAATATACCCTTTTTTGAAACCAAAAATTAAAAATTACTTATGGAAGATAATGCTCTTTATGAACTCATCACCTCAGGTCACAATGTTTTTTTTGTTTTGTTTAGTTTAAAAAAAAAAACAAATAATCTTAAATTCCATCTATTAATATAGATTTCTTGTGTTTTAGTTATACTTCTTCAAGAAAGCTTCTAATAACACAATATTTTTCAGTTGCAAAAGATTCTCAAATTTCCATTTACCAAGATAAATAACAACTTTCAAAACCAAAACCATATACCTTTTGCTGTAGTTCTTTCACTGCAGAATCTCTATCCATACATGCCTGTCGATATGCTTCATAAGCTTTATTGAGTTGCTCACCAATATTTTTATCCATTCCTCTCTGTTCTGTAGCATCACTATAAAGGATGGAGTAAATGACAGGTCTGGAAAATAATCAGAACAATTTAGGTAGCTATTAAATGATATAAAGCTCATTTCTAAAATGCATCTTAAAGACAGTTCCATACAGTTTATCATGAACATTATAGCATCAAGTACTGTAAAGGTTTAGAAAGGCATACAAGTCTCATTTAAAATCCTGATTAGAAATCTTAAGAAAACTTAACTTCTTCATTTTTAAATATTCTTTACTAATGTTCCAGAAGCAAGTGGGGTTCCGGTTCATAAAGATGCTACTTTGAAAACAGTAATCTAAAAATGCAACCTTAAAATGGAGAAATATAAAAGGCCACTTGTTATTAATACTTTATTATAGAAATGCACAAGCTTAGCAACGTGGGAAGGGATTTCTTTTTACTAAATGGACAGTTACTCCCACTTACAAGGTGAATTCTTGCTATACTGAAATTAGAGCAAAATTAAATAGATAATAAATGTTTGTGGATGGAGTTCACACTGTTGTTATCGCAGAGCAATTAAAATGTGTGAAAATGCTCTTATTTTAGCACAAAATCTAGGGAGAGTTGCTGTTGGATTCTACATTAAAAAAGAAAAAACATCCCTTCAGTCCTACCTACAATCCCTATTAGTTTTCCAACCTCCCTGCTGTTTCTGAACTACAGGTGATTTACTGAGTGGACATAATTTGGTTTTATCATCTCAATTTGCATAACATTTCTAACCACATTCCTTGCCTCTGGGCAGAGGGTCATGTAATGACTCTGATTTTTCTGATCCAGTTGTAAAAGCCAAACCACGGGACTTTTCTCTTAATCTCCAGAAAGCCACAGAATAAAATTCTTTATCAGTCATAAGGGGCTTGGGGGTGCCAAATTATTTCACTTCTTTATGACTGGAAACCCTTCATAATCTCAGTCTCTAATCTTTCATCTGTCATTTTGGGCACACAATGCTTTTTTAAAAATTTAAGTATTTTACATTAAAATATAATTCATGTAAAATTCACCATATTAAAGTGTACATTTCTGTGGCTTTTTGTCCAATCATCACCATGATCTAATTCCAGAACATTTTTATCACTACATAATGAAACTACTTTTTAGCAGTTAGGCCCAATTTCCCTCTCCCATCAATCACTAATCTAACTACAGATTTGCCTATTTTGGACATTTCATATAAATGGAACCATACAATATATGGCCTTTGTGTCTGACTTTTTTCACATAGCATAAAATTTCTGAGGTTTATCCACGTTGTAGCACATAACAGTACTTCACTGCTTTTTAAGTCTAAGTAATATTCCATTGTATGGATATGCCACATTTTGCTTATCTATTCCTCAGTTAATGGGCATTTGAATTCTTTTTTTTTTAAAGATTTATTTATTCATGAGAGACAGAGAGACAGAGACACAGGCAGAGGGAGAAGCAGGCTCCATGCGGGGAGCCTGATGTGGGACTTGATCCGAGGTCTCCAGAATCAGGCCCTGGACTGAAGGCGGCCAGGCTGCCCCTTGTTTAACCTTTTAAGGAATTGTCAAAGCTGCTTCCAAAGAATGTGTACTATTTTATATTTCCACTAGGAATGTGTAAGAGTCCCAATTTCTCTACATCTTCACTAACATTTATTGTCATTAAATTATATGCATCCTAGTGGGTGTGAAGCAGTACCTCATCACAGTTTTAATCTGTATTTCCCTAATGATGTTGAGCATTTTTCCAGTGCTATTGATCATTTGTATATCTTTCTTAGAGAAATGTCTATCTAGTCAAATCCTTTGTCCACTTTTCAACTGGGTTGTCTTCATATTGTTGAGTTGTAAGAGTTCTTTATATATTCTGGAAACTAGAGCTTTATCAGATATATGTAATTTGCAAACTTTTCTCTCATTCTATAGATTGTGTTTCCTTGATAGTGTCTTCTGATAAAGTTTTTAATTTTGATGTCTGATTTATCTATTTTTTTCTTTTGTTGCTTTTTTCAATGTCCTATCTAAAAACTTGCTGCCTAATACAAGGTCATGCAGACGTTCATCTAGGTTTCCTTTAAAGAATTTTATGCTTTTAGCTTTTACATTTGGATCTTTGATCCACACTCAGTTAATCTACATACAGTATAAGGGAGGGGTCCAAACTCTTTCTGTGGCATGCAGCTATCCTGCTGCCCTAGCAGTAAAGGCTATTCTTTTTCCACCGAATAGCCTTAGCACTCTTATCGAAATCAGCTGACCATAAATTACAATGCTCTTTAAATATCTACGTAATATTTCAATCCTATCAGCCAGTCTTTCATTTTAAGTACTAAATACATTTTCAGGCTTCTAAAAACAATTTCAAGGTTTTTATTATGGGGTTAGAGTGTTACAGCTTTCTGAAGAAATCAAAGAATGGTAATTTTTTTAGGCATTCCACTTAGAAGTTTGTTTCTACTGCTACCTTTGATAGATAAAAAAAAAAAAAAAAAAAAAGATGAAATACTGTTAGGATACCTAACATTGCCGGGTCTCTGATGTGCCATAGACGCTACAGAAAAATAAATAACTAGCATTAACTCAAAGTATCACTGTCCAGTGATTCATTTGGACACTACATCATTCAAAGGATTTAAGGCAGCACATAAAAATAAAAGTTAAGATTAAAAATAAGTATATAAATGGGGAAAGCAGCTGTTGGGACTATAATATAGTATAAAATACTAATGCAGAAATTAGAGGTTTAAGTAACTATGTGGCTCAGTTACCTATCATGTCTTAAAAAGCTGTATATCATGACAAACTTTTAATATAAAACACACCTATATTTTAAAATCTGAGACAAACAAGAACCTTGAATTGGAAACTCATCCAGTTTCTTATTTTGTTCTATCACTGAATGATCCTGACCTTGGTTCAGGGTTGGTAAATCTTTCTGAACCCATTTCTTTCTCTCCAATACAAAAAAGATGTTTGGACTTGATTTCGAAGAAACTTCTTTGTTCTACAGTTCTTGAGTCAGTGAATCTAAAAATGGATGCCTGTTCCATCAAGAAGGTGCATTCTTGTTTTTTAAAATGTAAATGTAGTACTAAAAATAGCGGCATCATATGCAAGTAAATCATGCGGAGGCTTCACTTCGGGTCCTTGAATTAGATCACACAAATGTCACTAAGAAGAGTTACTGAGTAAATTCCACATGGATGCATCCTATTTCCTGAAATAAGAATGTATGCTGGAGAGATACGACTGAGGTCAATACAACTAAATAAATGATACATTTAATTTCTATCTCACAACCAAAAAGAGAATTGGGTGTTAGATCAGTGACACTGACCAGAGAAAAAGGAAACAGTCGCTGGGATTCAACTAATTAAATTGGACAGATTTCAAATATTAACACCCTGAACTTTAAAGCCACTTGTTCCTCTCCTTTTTTTTAAAGCATTTGTTAAGTGTAAAATTAATTTCACAATTTAAGACGCAGTCACATTTCAATTACATTTTAGTATGCCTGCTGTAAAACCTGCCAGGCTCCAGGGAAATGGTTTTATTTATAGTAAACATGCTCAAACCCAAATCTCATTGCCCAAACCCAGGAGATCCAAACTAAAGCAACCTTTGCCTTGGAAGCACTCTTCTAGTTATGGTTTCACAATTTGTGTATTTTTAGGAAACCTTTCCATGGTAATTTCTTTATTTCTGGGTCTGATTTGCGGATTTCCTTCCACTTCATGAGGAAAAGATTAAGCCACTGATGCCCCAGAAGGTACCTAGGCAAGCAGAATGCAAAGCACCCCCACCCACCCAGGGCAATTCCCCTGAAGTCAGGATAGTCCCTACCCACCCACATCTGTCCCTGTGGCGGTAGTTCCTTTTTTCTCCCTGGGTGGTTCCTTTGAGAAGGAAAATGAAGGACAGCAAGTTCCTGTTCTGCCTCCCAGGTCCAGTGCATGCCCACCCAGTAGGAAGCACCAAGAAACTCCCTGGGCAGCAGGCTGCTTCCTCTTTCATTAATCCCTTCGTTCACTAATGAAACTGTTCTAGGGTAGGAGAGGCAGCCTACACAAAGGAGATAATTTTATCTTCCCTTGGTAAAGTTTCCCAGCTCCAACAAAGGTTTGCCAACTGCTAGGGCCAAACACTGCCAAGTAGGAACAAAGCCTGTACTGAGCACCAGTGACATAGTGAGAACAAAACAGACAAGAAACCTATCCTCATAAAGGCTCTGTTAGCTGTAACTTAAAGTGTATATATACATGTAACCCTGAGGTATCCAAAGGCTCTAGAAACGGGAGAGGAAAGTGGTCCCATCTTTTTTTGCGGCTTAGGAAAGGCTTTGAAAGGTTCGTAACACTTGCACTGGGCTTCGAATTATGGATAGGAGTGACTTCACCCATTCCTTTTATTTGATTATCAAATAGTCATCCTTTCTAGAATGGGTTCTCAAGGACTATAAAGATGTTTTTCATGTTAGATAATATCCATTATTCATTTTAAAAAAAGTGAGTTTAATAAGCATTTCTTTATGCATTGTTCAGCTTGATTTTTCTTCTTTTTAAGATTTGAGAGAGAGCATGCACATGTAGGGGGAAAGGGGGGGCAGAGAGAATCTCAAGCAGACTCCCTGAAGAGTGAGAAGCCCCACATGGGGCCTGATCTCAGGATCCTGAGATCATGACCTGAACAGTAATCAAGAGTCAGACACTTAACCAACTGAACGACCTCGGTGTCCCTTGATTTCTCGGATCATACAATCTGCAAATCTGAGACAATTCTCCAGTATAACAATGATGGTTACTAATAGAAATGATTGATTAGGCTAGTGCTCTTCCCATAATGCTTGAAAAGAAGTAGCAATGGGAATGAAATAAAGGAGAAGTCTGAATTTATCCTTTTTTAAAAGATGGATGGACCTCAATTTTCCTTTATTTTAAAATGAAGTGGCTAAATGATATAATCTCCTTCAACTTTATGATTATATAGCATTTGTAAAGAAATAGAGAGTATAGAAACTATTGCTTGGCAAATATGGTGATATACTTTTCCTCA